GCTATTGTGTTGACAGTCCCACCCAGAAAAGGGTGCACATTACCTATGTTTTTCATAGTCTACTCATGTGTGCGAATGGGCCACCGCTGAAGTAGTACTGATACGAACCGTGGTACCTAAGTGAGTGAACGGGCCACTTATGGTAGTTCATAGACTAATGGGGCACATTGGTCAAGTAAGGCTCTGTAGCGTCTCAAGTTTTTAAGTATCGATGGAAAAATTTACATTTATATTGTGCAAGTTATGTATAAGTTTGCAAGTTGTGATTTACGCATTGTAAATATTTTGTGCATATGAAAAACCCGTGAACTCACCAACTCTTTGTAGTTGACGTCATTTTATGTTTCATGCTTTTCAAGAAATTAAGTAAGATTGGAAGTTTTTGGAAGCGTTTTAGGATAACAACTGTTCACAAGCCTTGTAACTTCTTCTGCAAATGAGGTTGTTTTTCATCGTGAATAGTAGAATGATAAATTTGTAAATTTTTATGAATTATGTGTTTAATGGTGTTATCTATCGATTGGAGCTATGAAATACTTACCCGTTACGCCTCGTGTTTCCGCTTTAGCGGGGTGTGACATATTTGGTATAAGAGCCTCGGTTATAGAGAACACCATTTTTTCTTAAAAACCACAAACTATAACCAAATGTTTTCAAAACAATGTTACTAAGTATAACCAGAGGATGAATGTTGTGTTATTATACTTAAATTAAACAGAGCCTGATCACCTATATTTAACTTAAGTATTATGATAAAAGATTCCAATCGGTTGTGTTGGAAGTATGCTCAAATTTAGAGAATTTATCTAAAACATGAAAAACATGATTGTGTGTGTTTGCATGAATATTGAATATCCATCGCCTAGACTAACCAGAAGCTCTGATTGTGAAGTGAAGCAAGTTATATAAAGCAATAAGACAACCCGAGGGTCAACTCTGTATCTGGATACTTGGTAGTTAGACATAGATAAGGTGTTTAGTCTTTATAACCTCTGTATTCAAAAGTTCTCACTATGCATTAGGTAAGATTTTCCTGGACATAGGAAGTGAGCTTTGCATTCTAGTTTTGATTAAAGGACCACTATTCTATATAAGTGAAGGGCATCCTGAAGCTTTGGTTGGCTTGACCTTGAGATCCAGAAGCTCTGGTTAGAGGAACTAGAGGCTCTGGTCCACGAAAGGAAGATATTTACTGTCTGCTTGAGGAACAAGAGATCGATGGAAGGTGATCCATCGGTTTGCTAAGTATAAGGAACCAGAGATCGATGGAAGGCGATCCATCGGTTTGCTGAGCATGAGGAACCAGAGATCGATGGAAGGCGATCCATCGGTTTGCTAAGTATGAGAAGATCGATGGAAAGTGATCCATCGGTTTGATAAGTATGAGAAGATCGATGGAAAATGATCCATCAGTTTGCTAAGTATGAGGAACCAGAGATCGATGGAAAGCGATCCATCGATTTGCTAAGTGGATGTTGAACCAGAGGCCGATGAGGTAATAGTCAAATGTTGTTCCAAGTATGGGAACTTCAACTAGAAGCTCTGGTAATACAACCAGAGGCTCTGGTCATCCAAAAGCTTTAATTTGTTTTCTATCCTTTGCCTCTACATAGTAACTCTTGTCTTAACCTTAAGCGTTTCATTGATGATGTGTCTAGTAATTAAGTTTGCCAATATTACAGACCATTATGTCATCATCTATTCCTAGTGAATATTCAGCAGACGAATCTGGTTACGTGGGTGGTCAATCTAGAAGGAATCTATCAATCAATGAAAATGTGGACCCATATGATCTCGAGGACACAGCGACTAGCGAGACACCTGCTTTACCACCTCCATCAGTGTTACTACCATCGGAACCACTGCCCGATGTACCACCTCAAACATTTCATGGTTCGAGGATTAGGGTAACGGCTAGGAAAAGAGTGCCACTACCTCGACGGGTGACTTTCGAGAACTCTAATAGAGCAAGAGGAGAGGCATCCCAACCACAGCATTCGCGACTGGTGACTGGAGTACCTGCATCCTACACCCAGGGCATGACTATGGATGAACGAGAGTGGGTGCGGGGTATTGCATCAGAAACACAGACACACCAGACCCGGCTGGGATATCACCACTACATCTTGAATAACCTGTCCGATGTATTGGAGATGCATCACCAGCATATGATGAGAAACTCGGATGTTGTCATCACTGCAAGACGCGAGATTAGGAGGCTATATAGATGTTTAGTGGCGAGTGTGTTGATGGTACTAGTACTAGGAATGCTAATATGTTGGATGCTACTTTAGAAGCGATGGCTAGTATTAGAATCACTACTCTTTTGTTGGAATTTAAGATCTGTTTTGAGGGATTGTAATCATTTGAAAGCCCTTAGCGTCTTTTAAAATCATCTGAATGTACTGAACCTTTGGTGAATATAAAATTTTATGTTTGATCATGTGATTGCTTCAATGATACCATATCCTATGCATCATTCTGTTGATTAGAAATTATTGTCAATAAAATTGCTATAAAAATGATGAGATTCTCTTTTATCATGCCTTAGAAAATGCCGCCAAGAAGAGAAAACCCTGAAGTTGCACGACTCATGTCAGAGTAACTCTTGGCTGCACTTCCCAATATAGTTAGTCAGGTGGCTGTAGGTCTGAATGCTAACCAACCTACCAGTTTTGAGCCTAGGACATCTAGGAAATGCACCTATAAATCATTCAGATCCTGCAACCCGAAGGAATTTCATGGAACTGAGGGAGCCGTAGGATTACTAACTTGAATTGAAAGTATGGAGTCTGTCCTCCATATCAGCAAATGCCTAGAAGCAAACAAAGTAGAATATGATGCATGCTTACTGCAAGTCAGAGCATTAACATGGTGGAACACATTAGTTCAGACTAGGGGTCGGGAAGCAGCCAATCAACTCACATGGGAGGAGTTCAAGAAACTACTTAAGGACGAATATTGTCCAAGAAGTGAACTCCAAAAGTTGGAAATGGAGTTATGGAATCATGAGATGAAAGGGGAAAACATAGCTGCATATTGTTAGGACTGAGAAATCAGTATTAATTGTATTCGTCTTGAAAGTTTATAAATAGTCTATAATTGTAAAAGTCAGCGTGTTTGACTTTTCTTATAGAAGTTTGACTTTGACTTTGCTTTGTTAGTTTGACCATATAAATAGTGGTTAATCTTTGTAATTAGGTGGAGAAGAGGAGTTCATTTGTAATAATCATACGTAATAGAAAGGTTTGACTGAAATATAGAGTTTGACTTTCTCTCTCTAAGTGTTCTTGATGTTCATACAAGATTTATTCTAAATCCGACATTGTTGAAGATATTATGAAGATTGTTCAGTGCATTAGGACTCCGCAATTGGTATCAGAGCAGGATGCAAGAAATCAGAGATTAAAGAAATCAGATAAGTGATTTTTTTTGGGATTTTTTTTGTGTTCTTCGTGTTCTTGATATTTTTTTTTTTGATTTTGATCCGATTTTTCATAAAAATCTTGTGTTTTCATGTTATAAAAATGATCATAATGCTCGAAATTGATTTGTGAATCTTTGTTATTCACACACTTTTGTAATTTGATCAATTTAAATCAAGATTTAATCGGTTTTTAGGTTTTTAAAATTTTTTTGTGTTATTGAATTTTTTTTTTAAATCAGTATTTCTTGATCCAATTTTTTTTATTTTTTTTTTGTTTTTGTGTTTTTGATTGTTTTGATCTGATTTTTTTTTGTTTGGTTAAATTTTGTTAAACCGTCCACTTATAAAGCCCAAAGGTTAAGGCCCAATTCTTCATCCGGTTTAGAGTTCTTGTTCTTAAATCGTTCAAGTAAACAGCATAGCTTCTTGTTCTTAAATCGAAGTTGGTAGAAGCTTCAATCGGATTCTAATCTTCATCTTGTTCTCATCTTTTGACCAGATTGACTCTTCTATTCAAACAATTTCAAGTCTAAGGCTAAACCGTACAACTTCATTGGATTTCTCAAGCGGTGTTCGTCTAAACCGCACACCATTTGAGCGGTATTCATCTAAACCGCGTGTAGCTTGAACGGAGAAGAGGTAAACTGCAGAAGCCTTGACCGGTTTGTTATCCGGTTTGTTTCAAAGCATCAATCAGTTTTCGAGACTAAGTCTGAATCGCTCAAAGCATCAACGGATTCTTGAGCGGATTTATTGAAGTCTGGACCGGATTCGTATACCGCTCAATCAATATCATCGGATTAGTAAATCGTTCAAATCAAAAGGTAAGGTTCTAATTTTTTTAAGTCTTAGTTGATTACCTCTTGAACGGATTAACCTTTGAGCGGATTAGCTCAAGCAGTGAGCGGATTAGCTCAAGCAGTGAGCGGATTAGCTCAAGCAGTGAGCGGATTAGTGGACTTAAAAATTTGTGAATCAAGGTGTCCGGACTTCTATACCGCTCAATTCCTCTTACCCAGATTCTTGATTGTTCGTTGTTTCTTGATTCAATTTGGTATTTTGTTCAATAACTTGTCAAGAATCGATTGAGATTGGTGAGGTTTATTTGAGCATTTCTAATCGACTGAGTGTGCTGTCAGGTTTACACTTAAAGGGATGTCCGGTTTATACTCTTGTCTCTGTCCGATTTAAACTGTTAACAGGTTTAAGACTCATTGTTATGTTCGGTTTAAGATTTTAAATTGTTAACAGGTTTATTCATGCAGTTCGGTTTCAGCTTTTAGATTGAATGTTTTACATGAGTGTTCTCAGGTCTATTATTACTGCTCTTAATTGCTCTTAACAAGCGTCACAGGTCTGTTAAAATCTGTTTGAGTGATTTGCTCTTAAGAAGTTTGTTTGAGTGATTTAGCTACTTGACTGGTTTCAAATACTATTATTTGATATCTGTCTAGTGTGCTGTTTGCAGTGTGAAGTTTTATAATAAAAAGTGATACTGTGCTGCGCTGTGTTGGTGTAGAGAAGAAAGAAATAGCAGGTCTGTTTTTGACAGAAGAAGACTAATAGCACAACAAAGGTAAAACAGCAGGTAAAACAACAGATAAAACAACAGGTTTGCATTTTGAACTTGAAATCACAGCAGACTTATTATGGAATCATAGAGACATAAAGACAGATGTGCTTGACTGTTTTGGTTTTGTTATTTTAGCAACAGCAGGATCTGGTTTAGTATGTGCATGTGACAAGTTCTGTTTTGCTTTTGGGATTGTAAATAGCAGCTACACAGTGTGCAGCAGCAGCAACTTCAAAGCAAACAGTCAACTGCAGGTTCTTTGCATTTTTAAATCAATTGTTCATTGAGCTGATTCAGTTGGATGTTTGTAGTCTAAGTCTACTGTTTGATGCACATGTGATGGTTTGTGGATTTGAGGACTGTAAAGATTTAAGCAGCAGGATTGATAGTTAAAATTGGCTACATTGCAGCTCACAGTTCTACAACAGCAGCTCATATTTCTTTGAAACAGAAAGTTTAGTGCAGCAACAGTTTTGACAACAGGTTTCAAAAAAGCAGCAAACATTCTGTTTAAAAGCTGTGAATTACGCATTTGTTTGAATCGAGTTTAAACATTCTGTTTGGTATTTCTGTGTTTGTTATTTGAGCAGCAAGATTTGAAACAGCAGGTTTGTTGGTGTAGAGACTGCTTAAAGTCTGTCTAGTTTGCTATTTCAGATCTGTTTATATAGTTACAGAACAGGTAATAGCAGGTTTAAAACAGAATTGAAGCTGCTGCATTTCTATAAAACAGGTAACAGCAGGTCTTGAAAGCAGGTTGTGCTTACCGTTTTTAATCAATATTTGTATTTCTTGTTTGCTGTTTTGAGCTGTTTAGTGTACTTTGAGTATTTCAGGACTAAAACAGCAGCAGCTGTATAGTGATCTGTTTGCAGGCTGAACTCAACATGTCTGAGATAAGAACACAACAAGAATTGAGATCAGATTAGCAATACAGCTCAGCAGTTGACAGCAGACTGTTTAAGAAACTTTGAAACAGTAACTACAAAGTGCACAGTCTGCAGAAGATCCAATTTAGAGATGTGATAAGTGGATGCATACAAGAAGCATTCAAGTGGATTTTTGGATAGAACTTCGAGAGCAGATAGTATATTTTTTTTGTTCCACATCTGTATTGTAAAGAGTTGATATTGTTTGATTTGGATTTAGAATCAGATTTTTGGACTTGGATTATTCTTTTTGGACTGTTTTTGGTTTCTTAGTTTGATTGTGTTTAGATTTTCTTTTGGATCATTGTATATCTGTTTTTAGTGTTTATGTTTTTTTTCTATTCTTTTTGAGCTTAAATGTTTATATTTCTTATATCTGATTTCACTGTATAGATCCTTAACTGATCAATTTGTTTCTAATGGCATATATCATAAAGGAGTTGAGAGCTAAGATTGCTGAGCTGGAAAAGAACATCGAGAGTTATAAGGAGAAAGAGCTCATGAATAATGAAGTTGTTCATCAAACTTGCATTAAACAGATTAATAAGATGAAAATCCATATTCAAAATTTCCAGCAAGAATTCAAATCAGAAAAAGAGCGTTCAAATAATCTTGACGATCAACTAAAAACGCTAAGAGAAAGAAGTATCCAAGTTTATCTTGAAAATGCTGGTCATTTGAGTTTGGTTAAATCTTTGCAATCTGHRTCCAAAATTTCTGAAGAAAAATTCAATGCTTTAAACTCCGAGTTATCTGAATTAAAAGAAAAAATATAAATCATTAGTTTTAGTTAATGACGAACATATTGCCAAAATAAGTAAGCT